CCAACAATTACTATTGCACCAGCAATCTGTTCAGGAGTCCAAGAGTTAAAGTTGCAGCACAGACTCTCCTTGCCTACTCCCTTAAGCCTCTCAATCTTCCATTAAATCCATTTCTCCATCGAGACTGGATGGGCTCTTTTCCCCTTCCCCCCTCCCCAACCCGGCAGCTGCTGAATTTTCCACCCCAAAGCCCAAAGCATTCTTGGTGGGTCACTTGGCAGAGTCCTCTCCCCGCCAGCGCCGCAAGATCCAGCCGGCACCCCGCTTCGTATGCGAAGCCAAAACGTGAGCACATTCCCAATGCTTGCGCGAGCCATCGGAAAAAAAAAAAGCAACCGTGGCCCATCCGAAAGGATCCAGTCGAAAAGGGTTAAGTGTGCAAACAGCTGTACATCGGTGGGTGGGTGTGGATACGTTAGAAGCTCACGGCGTGTCCATCCTGCTAAGAGATCTTGCAGTTGTTGCGTGAGCAGTTCTGTGGGGGGCTCTGGGGTGGACGAATGGATTTGGATCTCTTCAAGCTGTTACCTTTGCTGCCGCTCCCACCCCCGCTGCTGGCCAAGGAATACGACCGGCCGTGCATCATCACCGCGTTCATCCCGTTCGCCATCGAGAAGGATTTCAGGTGACTCTTGATGGTGACGGGCAACGGCAGCTTATCGATGAGGTGGACTGGGGTGCAGGAAACAATGGCTCGGCAGCACAGGTCCTGTAAGCTGAACACTGGTGGGAGAAAAGACCAGACAGTCAAGGGACAAGAGACGTCAAGGGCTGCCTTCTCCCTACAGCTACCCCTGATGCTGTGCAGCTCCTGCTCCTTTGGGGAGAGAAGCTAATAACGATTGCACAGGAGCCTTGAACAGGGAGCAGATTAGTTGGGACAAAAGCTTGGGAAACTCCAGGTAAGCTCTGCCTTAGAGGCTAGTGCTTTGCGAGACACCAGCTTTGGTGTCAACACGGGGCTCGGATGCTACCACCCCTCCTCTCTGCACAGTGCCCGTGCAGGCAGCGCCTTGCTCACAGCCCTGCCAGACACTTGGGCTTCTCAGGCCATCCTTTGGCAACCAGAAGGACATGCCCAGGGAAGGAGGCAGCAGGGTCAGCGAAGCAGGACAGTCTCGCTTGGGACCTGCTTGAGGAGCAGCAGCCACGGGGCAAGCTCTCTGCAGAGTGCCTGCAGAAACGGAGATCCCACCAAGCCAGGAGAAGGCTCTGCCCTTTCAGGCTTCCCAGTCTTCCACTGAGCTCAGCGTTCATCACGCGGGCATGCTTTGGGAAGTCTGCTTGGAGGGGACTTCCCAGGAAGCGGCCACACGAGGGCACGCGTTCACCTCCAGCCGGCTGCCAAAGCCACGCTGCTGTTCCCAGCAGGCAGCACTGATTCCCAAGTCCTGCCTCTGGAAGAGGTTCAGGAGAGGTCTGCGAATGCAGCCCAGCTCCTGCTTGCCATCCCTCCGTGAGCTGGAGACAGTGGCATGGCAGCCAGCTCAGGGGCAGGAGTCCTGGCAGACAATTTGGTGACTGGGACTAGCAAACAGGATTTTCCCTCCCTCGCGAGCAGGAGCCGAGGATCCACGTGAAGGCAAGGTCACCCCAGGAACGCACATCTCCTGCTGCTCAGACTACCGGGGGGGCACGCTGCTACCTTCAGCCAGGAACGTGGGACCTAAGACTATTGTGCTTCAAACGCAACAGGCTGAGAAGTAACGTGGAGCCTGCTCGCCGTTTGCCGCGCTGCAGCACACGTGCCTGGATATATGGAACACCCCAGCCCACGGCCGCATGCTGACAGCAGGGATGTGATTTAGTCCCTTTCACCTCCGTAGGCTTCCATGTCCCTCCAAAACAGGAGCGACAGGCTCAGGCAAGGGTAAGGACAGAGGTGCTTATGCTTGGATTCATCCCACACAGCCACCTGACTGAAGTGCTTTCAAGTTGTGAGCTTAATTGCCCTCAGCCTCATCCAGAATAAGTGGAGAGGCGTAGGATGTCCCGGAGCAAGTCAGATCCTGGACGTGCTGAACTGCCCTCTGGAGCTGCCCATCCCTCACCGCTGCCTGCTGGGTTCCTGTGCTAGTACAGGCAGCTTGTTGGGGCTCAGCTTCAGCTTGTCTGACCTGAGGCATTTCTCCATGTCAGGTGCTTTCAGCTCCCACAGTTACTAATAAACACGCCTCCCACCGAGGCAGTCAGTCCTACCCCTCCGTTTCAGCCCTGCCATCTCTCATGCCTTCCCCACGCTCAGCGTCTTCCTCACTACTGACCTCTGTTGGGTCTCCAGATCTTCTCCATGCCGTGCCGCATGAGGACGATACGGGATAACTCTGTGAAGGACTCTATGACATTGAAGTTGCACAGGGGGCTGACCTCAAAAAACGTCATGCAGTTCTTCTCCGCGTAAGCCCGGGCCTGCTCCGTGGGCACCTGCCGTTTGAAGGCGAGGTGAAGCCTGTTGCCCACCAGGATCCGAGGGACACCTGGGGCATGCTTAAAAAGAGGAAAGAAGTGGAGAAGTCATGGCTTGTCCTTAGTGAGACCAGGCTACATCCAACATTCTGCTCAGCTGCAACAGCAGTGAAGAGCAAAGAAACAGAAACTGCTCCGTGACCGAGGGACTGCCAAGCACTACTACAGGATGAGGAGGACTAATTCATCCCCGCCACAGTCCACTTTAGAGGGAACCTTCCCATCTTTCTTGGCCATTCCCAAACCCTTTCCTACTACTCCGGATGTATACACAAGTGGAGGGCAGGCAGTTATCCCCTTATTTTGCTTATTAGCGGACTGCCATCGTTTCCTCTCCATCGCAGAGCCATTCTTGTCCCCATATCAGAGGTGGCACCTCCACGGATTTTTGCTACAGACCACTGCACGTGTTCTTCCATTCAACTTACCTCATCTATTTCCTTTATCCATCGGTCTATCCCATCAAAGGACCAGCGATTAGTGATGTCATACACCAAGAGAATTCCCTGGTGGAAGAAAATCAGGAGCAATCAGGAAGTTTCACAGTAGGCAAACTGAAAGGGAGACATGCCTGAAGGACCACCTCCATATGCAGAAACCAGGAGGCAAAGGGGCAAAACAATTGCTCCAGCTGCATTATTTGTGTGCTGGCTAGGGCAAACATTGAGACAACAGGTCCGTACTAACTCAGTCCCAGACTATTAGGGAAGGTTTTACTCTTGTTTTGCCTTGAACATCCCCCAAATTATTTCCAGAGCAGCAGTCTCTGCAAAGGAGGAGGAACTGCCTCGGTGACTGCGCATCCCGAGGAGCGAGGCTGCGCCAACACTCCCTCCTGCCCTGTAAGTCTGATACAAACTCGCTGAGGCAGAAACAGTGTTTTTCCTTTTCCCCTTATGGGGAACAGCTGCATTCAGTGGTAGAACGGTAGCAGAACATGACGAAGTTAATAAAGCACACCCATCTGCAGCATGCTTGCCCTCTCCACAACCTGTCTCATTCTGTTGTCCTTCTGCCGGCAGGGAAGAAGTTGAGCGATGCCAATAAACAACCCGGCATGTCTGCAGGACTGAGATCTCACGGCCGGGATCCACGCCGGGCTTTGCTGAAGGCAGTCGGTGTTGGCTAATTGTCACTGCCGCACTGGCAGAGAACACGCAGTACAGTGATGCTGGCAAACCCCGGAGGGTCAGATCAAAGGTCCCGCTGAAGGACCTTTCCCCCTGCTCTTTCTTCTGGAAAGAGAAGAACCTACTGCATCCTCAGGCCCACATCCATCTCCCCTGAACACCACCCACATCCACAACGCACTTCACCGTCACAACGCGCAGCACAGTGTTGGTGGCAGCCAGCACAGGCACAACTCAAGGCAGGGAATTCTGTGCCTGCAGCCGCGAGGACATGGAGCAGGACCTCGGAGGGTCTCCACTCGAGCCCCAAGCCTGGCTAGCAGAACCCAGGACCATGACCAGACTGCTAGCCACCACTCAGGTCCACAGCAACTCTTAACAAGTGAAATTTGCTTGAATCAAAGTATTTCTGAGGACAGACACAGGGAAAGTAGGCTATGCATGGACCTGCAGGCACACAAGTCAACGCATCAGGAGCTGCCTCTCAGCACCAGTTGGGCACATACAGCGTTTAGAGAATTGTCTTAAGCAGTAGCCTTTCTGCAATGCTCCTGTTATTTTTCTGACTTCTTGTCACTCTCTTTGCAATCAAGAACATTTCAAGTGACAACAGGCGCCTCAAGGTTACTTTGCAGAATCGCAATTGAAGATGCCCTGAAATGGGAACTACGGAGGAACAGATGATCTTGCACTGCGAGAAGAGGCAGCCCAGCTGGGAACGCAGCGCCGGATGAAAGGTAACCCAGCAGCAATAGGACTAAGCTAAGGGCAAAACAAACCAGTCTGAGCTAGACTCCAGGATAACAGATCATTTAGCAGCAAGCTAGGCAGAACCGGTCTTCTCTGAATCAGGGGTATCCCTCAGGAACAGCCGCCCCTACGGCAAGTCCCCACCACCAGCAAGAGAGATCTTAAGTTGGCAAAGGAAAGCCTCGGCTGGCAGCCTCGTCCTCCCTAGGAGATGCCTGGCCACAGTGCAGCAAAGGAGTGAGCTGACAAACTGCCCAGCATCTGTCCTGGTACAAGTCAGAGGCCATCAGGCACCCTCACCTACCGGGGAGTTGTTCCTTTATTCACTGAAATGGAAGATGGGAAACACAAACTACCTGGTCCTCCTGAAACACAGCTTTACAATATTTGCTGCTGCCAAAGCCTGTGATGAACCAGGGGAAACCTGTACAGAAGCCATGTACAAAGACGTGATGTACCTCAGGTTTATCAAAAATAAAAAAAAATTAGCAGCATGAGATCTGGAGCACATGGTAACGATAAAACACCAGGGACCTGAGCCACAAAGGCACTTGAATCCTCATAATAAAGTCATATGTTGAGCTGGCACTTGAAGTGTTCCCCCTCTGGGAAAAGCAGCCTTTCTCAGAGTACACTGGGTGCGCCTCAACGTTGTTTGCCTCTCTCTCAAAACCCTCTCAGAACAAGCAGCTCTCAAAGCCTGACCAATTTTATCATTTTTAAAAGTCTTGGACAGAACAATCCTGATTCCTGAGCTTTATCCTCAACCTCATTGCACAGCACTTCCACCCCAGGGAGTCGCTCTCCAGGCAAAACTTGCTTTTTCTGCCCTCACTGGCCCTCCAATACCTGCGCCTCTGTGTTTGTACCGTTTGCAGAAAGGCTCAAATGTAGAAAAAGAAGTGGAGAGGGTACAAAAGGCAAGTGGGTTGGTTTTCACGCTTGATAACCCAACATGAGGAGCGAGCCCTTCAAAGTTTGGGTTTGAGGTTGTTCCAAGGGACCAGATGATGAGTTTTCATAATTGCAGAAGCATGTGTGGGGTGGGGGGAGCAGACGCATCTTCAATTTCCTCTGAGGAAGTCTGGAGCTCATGTCTAGAGTCCATAATTTTTTGCAGTGTCATTTCTAGAACAGTCAAAAAACCCTTCATACTCAAGAAGAATTGGAGGTTGGTTTTGTTTTGGAGAAGAGAATTGGTTTCTCCTAGTTTTAGATAGGGAAAAATAAGAAGGAAGCAATAATTTTCCATCATTAAAAAATTCCACAAACCCAAAGATACTGCTTTCAAGAACCCAATCAAGAAATACCTACTACCAGGATACATCACATTAAGCGCATTTTGGAAAAAAAGTACACCAAAAACCCCCAGATTCTGAGCTTGCTTTCTTTTCATTTTTGTTATATTTATTTTGACTTTCAGCTTCCAAAGCTGCACGTGTGAATCAATGAGAGTCAGGAAATAACAAAGCAAAAAGTTTGATGACCCCCTTCCAAGACAAACTGCCAGCAAGTTAAATAAAGTCTACTTATTTTATTTCTGGATTGACAAATTCCTTTAGCCAAGAGAAACAGACCCAAGACCTAGTTTGCGAAGACTTCTTCTGCCAGAAATATGATCTAAGAGGAGAGTTTTTAAGCTTGCTGGCAGCTGCAGCCTGGATCTTCTTTAAATAGGAATAAGGATAAAACATCAGCAAAAATGCAGCCCTGAGTTTGCAGGAGCAGGGTGGAAGGTCAAGACCACGATTTCCAAATGCAAGAAGAGACAGGCTGCCTGCCAGCTTGCCCTCCAAGTCATAACACAGCTCCATGCATGCACATTTGGAGTTGAGATTCTCAAGGAAAGCTTCCCAAAGGCCAGAAGACACCAAATTGTCTAACGCCTTGCTTCTGTCCTCCTCCTTCCCAGCACAGGTAGTAAGACCAGCTTTACTTTCACCCAGCAGAAGATGGAGGAGGCAGTCTTAAAAACCTCTGGCCAGCCTGCGGTGCTGCCAGATAACCTCCTACTTCTTCCAAGTAGCGCTGGCACGCTCCAGACACCACGTTTCTAGAGCACACATCCCAAATACAGTTTGTCATTACCATTTTCTCCCTGAGACAGAACAGTTCACAGACATGCAGGCAGACAGGGAGCTGGCTCCATCTCTGCAGACACTTCCAAGTAAGATCTGTTGGTTTTTTCAGTTTCTTTTTAAAAAATGTCTCCTTTGGAATAACACGCACAGAATTTTAATTTACTCAACTAGACAAATGAACAGTTTCCCATTTGCAGCCTAAATTGTTCTCGAAGTGTCTAGATGGCTGCCAACACCATAATATCTCCACACCTCTCAAGTTTTAGTTTCCCAAAGCACCTTTATAAGCATTATATATGCCAGGTTCCCACAGCACGAAGCAAAAAGCTGCACCTTCAGGTTCTCAGATCAAGGGTATTCTGGAGCCCTCACCAACCCTCCAACTTTTTTCTTTTTCTCCTCAACCTGCCTACAGGCTTCTCTGCGTGAGGTGGAAGATGACTGGATTCACCCCCAGACCTGTCTTGGGTCTTTTCACAATTGATTTTCAAAGTTCACTTCCACTCTGGTTTTGTTCCACGCTACTGGCATTGGCACGACCCTAAGCATACCAGCGACAGACATTTCCACATGAGTACGTTGCGTAGTGAACAAGGAACACAGATCATCTGTTATCAAATCCAGCAGCACACGTGGACACTTACTCTGCCAAAACCCAAACTGGTTTTCAGCA